GGGAAGTGAGGGGAGCAAGGTCCAAGGCAGTGAGGCCTGAGTGATCACCAGGTCTAGGGAGTGACCGTGGACGTGGGTGGTGGAGTGGATGTGGAGGGAGAGGTTGAGGGAGGAGTTAAGGGAGGAGACGTCAGCAGAGATAAGAAGGAGGGGGTGAAGTGAAGGTTGAAGTCGGTTAGGATGAGGAGGCGTTCGAAGCAGAGGAAGAGGGGAGATAGGAGGGTGGAGATGTCAGGGAGGAAGGTGGGGGAGAGCTTGGGGGTGCGGCGATAGAGAACTAGAATTTTGAGGGAAAGGTTGGAGGGGTGATGAAGGGTAAGGTGCTCAAAGGAGGGGAAGGTTCCAGAGGAGTAATGGGATAGTCCGAGTGGGGACCGGGAGATGAGAGCCACCCTGTCACCATGGTCGTGGGGTTTGATGGAAGGTGTAGCTGGGTGGTGTGGCCTTTGTCAGGGGGAAGGTGTCGTCTGGAGTGATCCAGGTTTCAGTGAGGGCGAGAATGTCAATGTTTTCATCGACAATCAGGTCATGGATGGTGAGTGTTTTATTGGAGAGGGAAAAGACATTTTGTAAGCTGATGCCGATAAGTAATCCATGTCATTACAGTATATGAATACATTATAGTGCACAAGAACATAGCTTTATCATCTTACTGCACACGGATATGGGTTTAAATTTTGTAATGGTCGGGTGAGGAGTTGAAGGAATAGAAGGCATCAGTTTTAAGTGTGTTATACAATTACACATGATATAAATACTACAATCCTACACACTGAGCATTCTAAACATGCAAGACCTCTGACATTGCATTTGTGACTTATTTGAATAAGCACTTCAATAAGGGAAGGGTGCTAGTATAAGCAAAAGTGCACAATAAAACATCTCTCAAGCATTTAATTATTACCCTGAACATTAGACACTGTTAATCCATATCGAATGTTTTACTTTCATTAGGCAACTACTTTTCTGTAATGGGCCAGACTACTGGTGCTTTGGAATTGATCCCATTTAAACCACAAGCCAATTCCACAGCAACAGCAGCATTAAGCAAACAGAGCAGGTGCACTGTCACTGCATCTCTCGCATCAGATCTTCCCAATCTCTAGGAATTGGGAAACTGCATTACTGGTTAGTGTAGATGGGTTACTTGTTGTTGCAACTGCTAAATGCAAGCATTTATGTTGCTGTTATTGGATTTGAAAGCAGTGACAGAAACCAACGGGGTGGTTGTTGGTTCCTCTGGACCCAGCAATGCTACCTTATTTATCTTATATAGAAATGTGGTCACTGAATTGGGGCTGAAAGGCAAATGCAGAATGAAAGGCGGATACCTACTAGATCGACCATCGTAATAGACCATTATGAAATTAAACTATTTCTTACAATATTCCTACTAGTTATTACATTATAAGTGATTTTCTAATATCTTTTGGACCTATGGTCTCTACAGAGCAAAGTTTATGAAACTTATCTCCCAGCTACTGGGTTATCTATGTACCTGGGATATGGGTAATTTCTTTGTGTGTTTAAACTGATAGTATTTAGAACACAAACTGCCTTGACTGAACAAAATTTGGATTTTTATTTGTTTTTAAATATTGTGACTTCTTGTTTTCTCTAATAATCTTCCTGGGACATTGATGATGCTCACAAAACTGCACCAATATCACTAACAATTTGGTGACTCAATCCGCGACTTGACTGCTTCACACGCTCAATCCACGTGTTTCGCCCGCAAAACGTACAGTTAATCACTTTGCAGTATATTCTGTGAAGCGCTTTGAGACGTCTCAAAGACATGATAAAGCGCTATGTCAAATGCAAGGATGATTATAATTATTAACTAACTAATCACAAGGTTGTGCATGAAAACCAGGAACAATTTTTCTACTGATTTTCGCTCTCTCATCTAACAAGCATCTGACTGAAAATATTGCTAACAGTGGGAACTCAATTCGTAAGGCCAGGACAATCAATTAACTCTAAAATGGACATTGCCCATTCTTATGTGATACCCTGGTCAATTAGTCTCAATTTGCCAATAGGAAATATGAAACACATTTGAAAGAAACATCTATTCTACAATACTGTGTTTTCATCTGGGATTAAGTGAAGCTCAGCCAAATGAAACAAATGTCTCTTTTCCAACCACTGGCCCTATCGGAAATGAGTTTGGAAAACTTGGGGCTAACCGCCAAAAGAATGCATTTGAGTTCCCAGACAAAAAAAAAGGTCCCATTCAGGAAACACTTCGCTGTTAAGAAATTAATAATAATAATAATCCTTGCATTGATATAGAGCTTTTCAAGTCTTCTGAACGTCTCAAAGCGCTTCACCGAATACACTGTAAAGTAAATTGACTGTATGTTTGTGGGCAAGATGCGGCAACCAATTGCACACATCAGTGTCCCACAAACAGTCTTGTATTGAAGCGACCAATTTATTATTGTTTTTTCTTCTTGAGGGATTATTATTAGGCATGTGGAGTAAGGAAACTTACCCAAGGTTTCACCTTGCCGGGAATCAAACCCAGGTCTCTCGCTTGAGAGGCGAGTGCTCTAACCTGTGAGCCAGAGGACTCCTACAGCTACAGGTTTAACTTCTGACCAGACCCGTGACACCTCCAACACTGCAGCACGCACCCAGAACTGCATTGGTTGGAGTGTAAGCCTAGACTGAATGAGTTCAACCCCCCCCGATGTGGGGCTTGGACCCACAAACCGCTTGATTCAGAGGTAAGAGTGCTACCGACTGAGCCAGGCTGACACGCAGATTACTGAAGAACGTGCTTATAAAACGTGGAATCTGCAGGCATCAAGGTTATAACACACAATCTCTCTTAGACACCTATCATTGTGAAGTGCATCGCAGTGCTATCTTATGTGAAGGGGATTATATAAATGCAAGTTTAAATTTAAAGTTTAAAGTTTAAATGTTAAACCTTTTTGACTTACGAATATATCTGTTTAACAGAATGGTATACTCCTAATGAATATTTGAACATATGCCTACATGTACTATTATTATTATTATTATCACCATCAATAAAAATGCCATGTTATTGATGAGATTGATAAAATTATTTTATTAACAATTATCATTATTGCTATGTTATTAATAAAACAGATTTCTCAAATCACACACAAAGTTATATCTGCTTTAAGCTCTAAACTTTCATTTGCTTTTGATTTGACTTTAGGTAGAATGTACTTTCTTTCATTGTAATCTCTTGAGATTATGTCAGTACCTTCTTTCTAAAATTAATAACAAAGAGCCTGCACTGGCATTTTTGGCAGCGGCATTTGTCCCAACGTTTTTCAGCATATGTGAAACCAGCATTTGGTATTGGCAGCACAATTGTTAATTCAAAACTGACACTTTTCCAAACTTTAACTGACATGTTATCTGAATATACGGTCCGGGCTATTTTTGTGAAGACAAGTTTTGCGCATTCCACTTCATGAATTCCATTAACCTTCTGTCGATTAGATGGGCGTCAAAGATCCCATGGCACCATTTGAGAAGTGAATTTCACCCAGTGTCCTGGCCAACAGTGCTCCAGATAATTTGGCCATTCACTTCATGCTTGTTTGTAGTTTATTACTGTGCACAAATATTGGCTGTTGTATTTGTGTCTACAATCACACAGTTCCTATATGACACCAATTAACTGTGAAATTCTCGGTTTCACTTCTATGTTTACAGGTGCTTCATCAAATGCAAGAATTATTATATTATTATATTACATAAAAGCTTATAGCTGCAGCAAATTGCTACTTGTACTAATTATTTAATATAGCTGAAAGTCTGCATTATGATTAATGCAGATTAAAAATGTTCCTTTCGTTGTAATTGTAAATTTGGGGGATTATACATTAATTCCTAGAAAACTATCAGCACCCAAGGAATTCTATAAAAGTGATAAATGATCATTTCCAATTATTTCAATGTAATACATTATCTATAGCATTGAGAGGTTAACTTCAGGAATACATGCCTGAGGTGTTAATCTAAAATTGTATATCATTAAAATTCCTGATCAAGTGATCAATCAAATGTGGCACCACTACTTCAAGTAACAAATGCACTGCAATTATTCTTTGGAAAACGTAAATTTCAGTCTACTGCGTACCAGGTATAATAAAATCATGGCATGAATGTTTAAAATATAAATTGCTGCAGACACTGTTGTGGTGATGAAAGGAAAACAACTGCTTCACAGTGGAAGCACTGATCCTGAGTTGAAACTGGCCATTTAACACATTTAAAAAACAATCCAAATTCTGTGTTAAATAATTTACATTCTACATACTTTTACTCGAAATCAATGTTATGATCTACAACACTGCATGTGTGTCTTTCGTTGGAGAGCAGTAACTAGGGACAACAGTGTGTGTTTTTTTTAAACCAGGAGTAACCCAGCTCTAACAGTTTATAAAACTTAAGATTGAGAAGCACATTTTGGCAGGAAGGCTGGAAACTTCCTAATTCTGGAACGGTGTTCAGGTTAATGCAAACGAACCAAAGGAGCACCTTTAACAATACTTGTAAAGTTTAGACAGAACTTAACACCCATATGCACTTTACTGCTGCATTTACATCCCGAGGGCCATCACAGGGAGCAAAACAACGCCGACACGGGCCAAATGAGGTCCGGTGTCAGGAATCGGTCGACATCAGTGGAGAGAGAGAGAGAGAGAGAGAAAAAAAAACCAATCAGCAATTACCAATAGTTTTGTCTCACGAGTGCTGTGTAACACGGTTTTAGCTGCGAGTTCGGCGTCACTTGTGCAGATCGTTTAACGCTTCACTCGAGAGATCACGAACACGGAGATAAAACCACACGGAGATAAAACCACACACACAACACACACAGACAGACAGACAGACAGAGCCCCAATCGGAACGCGCAACCGAACTGCAGCAGAGCCTCGGACACGCCGTTAGTTTAGGCGACAAACTTCCGCTGTGCCCGGCAGGTTTCTGATCGATCACCGTACCTTGTTTGACACACTTCAAGCGGATGGGATCTTTGCAGTGCCGGATCACAGCCAACACGTCTCTGATCGTGAGCCCAGACACCGGCGTGTCGTTGACTTCCAGCAGCAACTCGTCGGCGTGCAGCCTCCCGCCCTGGTACATCACCCTGTTCTGCTTGATCTCCCCCAGGAAGGAGAACTGACCGTTTTCGGCGCCGCCTCTGATCTCCACGTTTAATTCCCCGTCTTTATTTCTGCACAGCACGGTTTCGTGCACTTTGTTGGTCCAGTGGCTTTTCTTTTTCAACACCTTGGACATCGTTGCCTAAAGCCCAAGGTGGGTTGACCGGGCGATTCGAGGCGAATGTTTATAGATATATAGATAGAGATAGATTTTAAAAACAAAAAAGAGAATTGTGAAAAAAAAACAAGGTGGTGGTGGTGGTGGTGGTGCTGAAGGAAACTAGAGCCAGAGCCCGGCGGAGTTGTCAGAACGGCCCGGAGACTCGGTGCTGACAGCGGAAGACGCAACTTTCTCGGTTGTATCCATGGCGCCCGGGCGGGGGGCGGGGGGGGGGGGGGTTGGTGATGGGAAAGAAGCGGCGGGTCAGTCGGGAGTCAGAGAGAGAGAGAGAGAGAGAGGCCTGTATCCGATTTCCAGTGGGGTTTAAAAAGCACACACCTCACTCCCCCCTCTCTCTCCCCCTCACTCACTCACTCACTCGCTCACTCACTCACTCACTCACGCACAGACATGAGCGGCAGTGTTACCGCGCGCCGCTGCCCGCACCGCCCCGCACCGCAAACTACAACCACAACCACAACCACGCATTTCGTTTCGTCTCATTTCATTTCATTTCAAGCTCTTCGCGGACTCGCACTCACTCGCTCGCTCACTCGCTCACTCACGGGGGAGGAGGGGGGCGGCGCGGGTCAGACAGCTGACACCCGCTTGGCCACGGCGGGGTTCCTCCCCCATCTCCTTCTTGTCATAACATTGGGAAAGAGAACGGAAAGAAAGAAAGGAAAGGAGGAGGAGGAGGAGGGAAAAAAAAGCGGCGGCGGCGGCGGAGGGGAGGCGGCGGTACCCGGTCTGGAATCCCGTTGGAGGCGGGCGGGCGGGGCGGGGGGGGGTTTAAAAAAAAAGGCTAACGGTAGAGGTTGTCTTGTACAGAGGTTGTCTATCGAGCTATCTGTCCCCGAGGGTTCTCGGGCTCTTTCGCACACACCCGCCGCCGCCCCCTCTCCTCTCTCTCTCTCTCTCCCTCACACACACACACACACATACAGACACTGAGAACTGAATCTGCTTCCAAGTTGCTCGAACTTCATTCGCGCTCGCGCTGCCGCCTCAGCCCAATCGCCACGGACAACGCAGCCCGCCGAGGGCGCGCGGGTGCGCACGCGCGGCGCCCTGCACAAGGACACCCCCCCCCCCCCCGTCTCGCTCCTTCTCTCTCTCTCTGCCGCCACCAGTCCCCGCCCCTCCCCCCCCCCACCCCGCCCCCCCCCCACCAACCCCCACGCACTCAGCAGAAACCATGCGAGAGGCGCGCGCAAAACGTGTGCCGAGCCCGAGGCGGCGAAGCATCGCGCGATTTCGAGGGAAAGGAGGGACGGGCAGGAGGTCTGTGGGTTACCCGCCGTCCCCGTTCGGTTCGGGTTCGGGTCCCGTCCCGACGGAAACTTTTTTTTTCAAAATCGTGAGGCAGATAAACCAGGGCTGACGGACGCGTTCTCGGTGAATGGCCCCCTCCCGCGTGTGTGTGTGTGTGTGTGTTTGTCCGTTATTTTTTATATACTCCTCCCCCTCCCCCCCCCCCCATTCAATCGTTTTTCAAACTGGGCGCCGCGTTCCATTCCTAACGGTTTTTTGTGGTAACGGCCGCTCGCGCGCTCCCGCCTCCCGGCCCCGTGACGTCACCGCCGCGGCTCCGCCCACCGACCCGTTCGTGCTGACAGTGAGCACTTATAGTTTTGTTGCCCCCCCACCACCACCACCACAACAACAACAAACTATTTTCACGTCTATTATTATTATTATTGTTGTTGTTGTTGTTATTATTGATTGCAACCGGCCATAGAATTTCCGAATCCTACCGCAACCGGAACAGTAATAATAATAATAATAATAATAATCCTCGCATTTGATATAGCGCTTTTCACGTCGGGAGGACGTCCCCAAAGCGCTTCACAGAACACACTGTAAAGTGAATTGACTGTATATTTGTGGGCGAACGCGGCGGCCGATTGCGCACAGCAATGTCCCACAAACAGTCGTGGATTGAAAATGACCAATTTATTTTTGGTTTTTGGAGGGATTATTATTAGGCTCTGTGGGGAGTAAGGAAACTTGCCCGAGGTTTCGCCCTCTGTCTGGAATTGAGCTCAGGTCTCTCACTTGCAAAGCGAGTGCTCTAACCACTGAGCGACAGGACTCCACACAGAATCCTTGCACTTGACGCGGCGCCTGGTCGCGTCTTCGAGACGTCTCAAAAAAGACCCTTCGCGGAATACGCCGACAAGTGAAGTGACCCGCGCCTGTCGCGTGGGCGCGGCGGGGCGGCCGGTTCGCGCCCGGCGGCGGCCCGTCAACGCTCGTGGATGGAGTGACCCAATTTTTTTTTCCCCCCCCCCACCCAACCCCATTTGCCGCATGACGGTCGTGCGCGGCCGTGGAACGTCACCCGAGAAAAAAAACACGAAAGGTGCGAGTTGGAGGGAGATGGAAAAAAGTAAGGACCGGGTTTCAAACGTTGGATTAACAGTTTCTTTTTTTTAATTTCCACGCGGAGAGAATTCGTCGTTTCCCATCCTCTTGTTTCAATCGCTCTCCTTTAAGGGAGAGGCTAATAATAATAATAAGAAGAAGAAGAAGAACACCAGTGCCAGGAGTTTTTGTCTTTCTGTGCCAAAACTATCATCACTTTGGATGCGGTTGATCCCAGACCAAATCATTAGTGCATTCTGAATGCTGCATACCATACCCCAAGTTTATTATTGATTTATTTCCATATCATAATTTTTGGATTAAGCCGTTCGTATAGGTTCCAGACAGCCTTCCGATTCAGGGAAATGTAAAGAGATCCCCCCTCCCCTCCCCACCGCACGCACACGCACATATACATACACCCACCAATATTTCAAAGAAATGTGGAGTTTTTCCTCCAATGTATCCTATCATGTTAACTCCTTCTCCCAAGTTCATCACAAATTACAATTAATTGACTGCTCATCTCATTGTTTTGTAGGGTGTTGGTACTGCAGATTATCGTATTTTTATTGGATTATCACTTCCAGACGTTCTCACACGCTCCATAGAAATACAAGCTTTTTCATTTAAATTACTTGAATTTATACTATAATTCCTGAGGAGGCTGAAAAACCCAGATCCTAGGCAACAATTCCTTCTTGGGATGTGGCTGCCGTGTTGGTCTACAAAATCACTGTCAGTGTGCTTCACAGTGAATCTTGTGGAGCGCTTTGAGATGTTCTCCTGATGTGAAAGGTGCTATATCAAATGCAATGATTATTCTTGTATTATTATGGTTACCACACTTGCCCACATAACAATATTCACTTTGTTTCTAATTAATCTCACTCTGTAAAGATCTTTGAGACGTTTCTTCTATGTGAAAGGAGCTACATAATTGTAAATTGTACATCCAATTAAAGAAGAGTTGTCATCTCAGCCATCATCAACATCTCCTGAATCTTACAGAGTACAAATGATTAATGTCTGCCCGCTGGGAGATGTGAACAATTCTTTGAGCAGGTTCCTTTTAATTAGCTGAAGATATCTATGTATTTGCACTAAAACAACTCAGCACTTTAGGACCCAGGAAATCACTGCAAAAAATTAACACATTTATCAGTTACAGTATTCAGAACAAGAACAAAATTTTAATACTGAGTCGAGTCATTTCTGACTCGTGAACCATGAAGACAAACTTATCTTTGAATAAAGACATGAGAATTTCTGTCTCATTATATCGTTACGAATTATTAGCATCGGTCCTAAATTTTGTTCTAGCATGTTCTAGAACATCTTATCTTCACCTTTTTAGCAAAAGCAAAGCTAGCCTGGATTCAGGCTATCCAAAAGGATGGTCCAGTGGGAGAAAGATCCTTTGTTCTGACCTTTTAAATGAAAGGTTCGAAGGATTTTGTAATCAATAGCAGCTGGGAACTGATGCTCATGTAGGGCAATTGCGAATTCCTTCACCTTTAATAAAAGATAATGAATTCATTCCTGTCTGGCATGAAAGGAACCTATGCGGATTGTTTTTTTCTGCGCCCATATATATAAAATATTGAACATTTGGCCCTGTTGCTTTTTTATTTTCTGCTACAATCTAATTTTGCTCTCATGCTGACTCACACTTGGTGAGTGCTGCAGAGCAAGCAATGTAGCTTTATTTGTTTCCCAATTTGAATCCACTGCTGTTTTCTCTTACCACTGATAAATCTTTCTACTTTTGCATAAAAATGTGCAGGCATAGTACATTGAAGCAGTGACATAGAGAACCACAAAGTGGTGGAAGCCAAGTCTCTCCCCTTTCCCTCTACGAGCTGCAGATTATTCAGAACTCTGCAGCTCATGCACTAAACTCTGTGAGTCGATCACCTCGATTCTCACCTGCCTTCACTGGCTCCCCGTCCCCCAGAGGATTGAGTTCAAGGTTCTCATCCTCACATTTAAAGCCCTCCACGGTCTTGCTCCTCCCTGCCTCTGACCTATGAAAACATTACTAACCTGTCCGCTCCCTCCACTCAGCGGGCATTGGTCTGCACCATATCCCCCGCTCAGTCCGCCCCTCTGACTATCCAGCACCTCGGGACGTCCTCCTGACGTGAAAGGTGCTATACAATGGTAATTTTGTTGTTGATGTTTCTTATGTGCAGGTTATGTCCTATGTTTATATAGATTCACACAGGATAATTTACATCATCCTTTGAAAATATGAATCATTAGTCTTATTTCAAAAAATCACAAGATTGGTCTGAATGAAGAAAGAAGACCCTTTGGCCCATCCAATCTCATCTCTCCAGCTCACCCACCCCTTCCGTTCCCCACACCACCCCCAATCACTGAATCAAGCTGCTTTTTAAATAAGTCTCGTGGCCTAGTCTTCACCACCTTTCCTGGCAACCTGTTCCAGTTGTTGATTATCTTCTGAGTAAAGATAATTTATTTTTGAGTATCACATTGAATCTACTTGGTCCCTCTCGGTCCCTTTAAAAAGTTTTTTTGTGCTGCTTTAAGCTATTTCTTCTGGATCATTCTCTTGTCTTCACACTTTAAAAGCAAGCAAACATTAGCAATGGAAATGTGAATCTGTGTATATGAAATATATATTGGATGGATGCAGTTATTAAACCATATCAAATAATGTCTCTAACCACTGTGTAATATCTTACACTTTGTTGGACATGGTGCCACAGCATATAACTTCAATCCCCTCTTTGGCCAGTCAAGATCTCAAGACACACTGCTGCAGTGGATGTCAAAGC